CTGACAGAGGTACCTGTGCTCAGCAGCAAGCCAGTGCTGGGGCAGGTTCAGCCTGCAAGGCTCCTTGCTCTGGCTCTGCACTTGGAGCCTTCTGGGGGGCTGGTGTGCTCCATGTGCTGCTCCACCAGCCCTTCCTCACTGAATCCTTTCTTCCAGGCCATGGAGAGTGAGATCTCTGCTGCCTTTGACAGTGGTGAGCCTGAGGACATCCTAAGCAGGGCCTTCAAGCTGACTGTCACCCGTGAGGACATCTGCACCCTGCAGCCCCTGGGCTGGCTCAACGACAGGGTATGGGATCCTGCACTTGCTGGGAAATCCCCCCTCCCTGGGCACAGGAGTCTTCCAGGAGCTCCACTGCAGAGCCCAGAAATAGCTGTGCACTACTTATTTTGGGTACTGTGTGGGCTGCTGTTTCTGGAAGCTTTCACTTGCATGATGCAGCTCCCAGGAGTCAGTCTGGGTTATCAGAGTGGGTGTGGGGGCTTTAACCAGCAGCACAAGTCCTCCAGTGTGAAATTCTGGGAGCAAAAGCTGCCAAGCTGGAGTTTTCTCAGCTCAAGGGTGGCCAGCAAGGACAGGTTGCTGTCTTTTTAATTTAGTGTCTTATCTCACTTTGCCTCTCTCTGTTCCAGATCATGAATTTCTACATGGGTCTTCTTGTGGAAAGAAGCAAGAAGGAAGGATATCCAGCAGTCTATGCTTTTAATACCTTCTTTTATTCCAAGCTGAGCTCTACTAGCCACAAGGGAGTAAAGAAATGGACTAAAGATGTGGATATCTTTGAGCACGATGTCATCTTCGTGCCTATTCACCTCAGAATTCACTGGACACTGCTGGTGAGTCAAACTGGCTCTTTATTTAGGGGATGGGGAGGACAAAATTAGCAAAGTCCTTTAGTGTTTGGGGTGTGCTTTGTCTAAGTCACCTTTTAACCCCAGGTCATAGACCTCCGAGAGAAAACCATCAAATACTTTGACTCCTTGGGACAGAAAGGAGACCACATTTGTAAAACTGTCTTGTGAGTAGCTGCTTTTGCTTCTTTTATCCCTTCTGGTTGTTTTTGAGGCATTTTCTCCTCTCCATGTGAAGTGTTTGTGCCCTGTCCCATGGTGCTGCTCACTTTGTACCTCTTCTGTATAGAATCCTCCAGAGTGTCAGAGGTACAAGTTCTCACATGTGCTGCACATCCTGATGTGTCTTTGTCACTAAAAACCCTTCATCCAGCAGCTTTGTAGGGTGAGAGCAGGAGAGCAGCCTCACAAAGACAAATCCCAGAATCACTGAGGTTGGAAAAGCCCTCCAGGATCACCGAGCCCATCCCATGGCTGATCCTCACCTTGTCACCAGCCCAGAGCCCTGTGCAGACCCTTCCTGCCCTCCCCACTCCCACCCAGCTTGGTGTCACCTCCAAAGGCACTGAGGGTGCCCAGTCCCCTTGTCCAGGTCATGGATAAGGACATTACACAGGGCTGGGCCCTGGGGAGCCCTGCTCACACCCCTCACTGTGTCTCTAAAATGGGAATTTTCCCTCCACATTCCTTAAATCCTCTGCTGTGAGGATCCTCTGGCATTTCACTGCAATTTATCTTCCTGACACCTTTCAACAGCTTTTTTTGTTGTTGCCCTAAATCAGGGAGATGAAAAGTGATTTTTGTGTTGTTTTCAACAGAAAATACCTGGAAGAGGAAAGCAGGGAAAAAAGAAACATTGAATTGACTGCTTCTGAGTGGACTCTTCACAGCATGGGCACAGAGGTATGGGAGCAATGCCTGGATTTGGAATGGGAGCTAGAACTCCTTGTCACAGAGGATTTAACACTGCCCAGGCAAGCAGAGGGAGATGATGTGCAGTTAACTGGGACTGTTCCTTCGGTTTGGGAGTGGTAAATGGATTATAGAAATAGGTTTTCAGGAGTAGGTGTGGGTCAAATGTGTGCTACAGCCAGATTGCTGCTCTTTCAAGACAGATAAAAATTCTCCATGTTTTTGTATTCCTCAGGAGATCCCTCAACAAAACAATGGAAATGACTGTGGAGTTTTTGTTTGCAAATTTGCTGATTTCATCTCCAGAGACAAACCCATCATCTTCACCCCGGTGAGAGGGGGGTGTAAACAGCTCCAGCCTTTCCCACACCCATGTGGGAGCCAGGGAAGCTGCACAGCAGCTGGGGCAGGGGCTGAGGGTTGTTCCTCATGTCTGGTGTCTGCTTCTTGGGCAAGATCGTGGAATCATGGAATCCCAGGGTGGTTTGGGTTGGAATGGACCTTAAGGGCCATCTCATTCCAATGCCAGGATGGTGCAGCCAGGGGTTTAGGATATCTGGCCTTTGTAGCTCTTGGTGAAATAGGTTTCTCCCTTGGAAAACTTCCCCCTGGTTATTTACCAATGTGCTGATATTTACAGGGACATTTATTAAAGAAATGTGGGTGTTTTGTTGGGTGGTTCTGTCACCCTGGTGTGAAACCCGCCTTGTACCCAACTGGCAGGTGCTCAGAAGCAGCTTCCCACTCAAGAATTCCCTGGGTGTTAATGGAGCTTTCCTGCCTCTTTCTCCCCTGGCTTCCCATGTGATGGATTTTTCCTGTTTCTTTTCAGGAACACATGCCTTATTTCCGCAGGAAGATGGTGTGGGAAATAATCCATCAGCAGCTGCTGGGAGACATGCACTGATAGGGAAACACTGTTCTGTGAAAGAGTAGTATTTATTTCTTATTGTTTAGGTAAGACAAGATAAATATTAACTTATGTAAGAGCCTTATTGTATGGGAGGTTACTTGTTAATAGAGTAATTTATTTTTTAATTGAAAACTGATCTGCTGTCTCTGTGCGCTTTTTAACTTGCTCCTCATCTGAAGAACGGGGGCTGTCTCCTCTCCTGGTGGCCCTGGGGACATCCCTGTGCTGCTCCTGACCCAAAGACCCACAAGATCCCTGCAGAGGGGCTTTGTCTGTATCTGCTTTCACTGATTGTGCCAGATTGAACCAATCTCAGGGCAGATTCTCCCAAGAATGAACAATTCCAAAGACACTCGTGTTTTATCCTTACAAATAATTAATCGGGGATAATTAATCTTCCCTGAGGATGCAGAAGATCTGAGCATGAGGATGCAGCAGCTGGGAGTGTTTGAGGTGTCCTTTCCCCCTTCCCTTTGGTTCCTCCTGTTTGGGGCTGCAGTTTTGAATGTCCCAGCTGCCACCAGAGCAGCATTCCCAGTGCTGGAGGGGTGGGAGGGAAGAGCCTGGCTCTGGAGCTCATGGAGAGGAGTCCCTCATTGTGGCACCTGTCAGCATCCCAGGCAGCCCCATCCTGCCCCCAAAGGCCATCCCAGCCCCATTTGGTGCCTTTCCCCACTGGATGCTCCATCCAGGGATGTGCAGGAGGGGATAGGTGGCTTTGTGATGGCCACACTTCCCAGGTCCCAGGGTAAAACTACACCTGGCACTGCCTACAACGCCACCCAGCCCTTCCCTCCCTGGCAGCAAGGAATTGGGCACCAGAGAGGAACTCCCAGCTGTGACCACCACAAGGAACCCCAAAGAAAGAAACAGAGAGCAGGCTCAGGCTCTGGTTAGCTGGATATATTTCTCTTTGTTGGTGTCTCAGGTTGGTTTTCACAGAACACTTTGCAGTAGAGGAAAACGCGGATTCGCAGCCCACGGGAGCGGCGCTGGCACCGGCGCCTCCGCTCCCATCCCTGCTCTGCCCGTCGGCTTTCACCGCTTCCATCCATCACCTGGATTTGCTTAAACCCTTTTTTTTTGTTTGTGTTTGGCTTTTTTATTTTTCCCTTTTTTTTTTTTTTTGTTCTTTTTAACCATTTCTCAAGCTTTCTCCGAAGGAACAGCCACTGGCTCTCGGCTTGCAGGAGACTACAGAAGAGCTCTGGGACACGGGGGATGGTTTCCTTCTTCCACCTCGCAGCTGACTTGGTCGAGATCATTTTTCCAACTCGTTTTTTTTTATTACAAAAATAAAAAAATGCTCCAACTATCAGTTTTACAAGGCATACAAAAATCTCTAAAAGGGCAACACAAGCGCAAGGTGCTGAGGTACGAAAACCTGAGGTAGTTTTTCTGTGTGTGTGTGTTGGGAGGGTTATTTGGGTTATTTTTTCATTTGAAGCCAATTTTGCGGGTTGGGTTTTCCAGCCCTGGGCTGACAACCTCTTGTAAATGTTTTTTTTCACCCATTTCCCCCTCCTCTCCCTGCAACAGGGATCTTTTCCCCAAAGATCCCAGTCCAAAGCAGGCAGGGCTGGTGCTGCCCATCATTCTCCAGGGATGTCAGTGCTGGGCAGTGATGGAGAGAGGACAGACAGACAGAAAGGGGGGACAGAACAGATGCAAACTCCACTTTTGGAGTCCAAAGCAAAGAGAAAAGGGTGTGTGAAGGAGAGGAACAATTCCTACACGAGGAATCTTCTTGCCTCCTACAGGCCCTGCTCTTCTCAAAGCCCTTCAGAAATTGCTTTTTAACACTTATTCAGTATTTTTTTCCCTGCTGGTGATCCTACAGCTCTGCTCTACGGTGCATTAGAGAACCAATGAACCAGCTCCTGCCATTAAACCTCTAGAAAAGCCTGCTTTTGCTAAAAACAAACATCCCCCCCTCCCCCAAAAAATTTTTAAAAAGTGAGTTAAAAAATAAAATCTTACAAAACTTAAAAATCGGCGTTAGTTCCATTACTGATATATTAATTCTAAATTAATGGGTGCCACGGCCCCCCCAGGCCGGGCGAGCTCCTCGGGGGTGGAATGGGCAGGTTTGGGGAGAATTCCAAACTAAAAGCCACCTCTCTGCCTGGGTTAGTCTGACTGACTGGCGGGGAGCGGCG